CTTCTCTGCACTCTTTCTAGAGTCTCCACAACTTTTTTTACATCTTGGCAACCAAAACTGGATGCAGTATTCCAAGTGTGGCCTTACCAAGGCATTATAAAGCGGTATTAACACTTCATGTGATCTTGATTCTATCTCTCTGTTTATGCAGCCTAGAATTGTATTGGCTTTTTTGGAAACTACCCCAGATTTCCAAGAACATCCTTGCTCTTTTTCCATTTCTCAAATCCTATCACTTTATTTCTTCAGAGAAATTTTGGTTATATCCCCCAAAAAAAACCCAACCCACCACACCCCACCATCCCAAACCACTCTATGGTAGAAATCTGATTGATTCTAAAGATTGGCTGTGTGATGCAATTAATTTGTGGCACTTCCAAGTGTGCACCTTTGAGCCTCACCTCTTCCCCCCCAAAAGTTTCATTTTTAAATATGGCCCCAAAGGTTATTATTAAGTACACTTTTATTATTAATCCCGTGTCTAAAACATACTTGACTAAGTTTCTATTCAGTTCAATTTAAATGGAAATTAAACAAAATTAAATTTAATTTTTGTCCTTGCCCCACCTTATCTGATTCTCTTTGGAGTTCAGCCTGGGGCTAGAGCAAGTTTGCCCTTCTGATTTAAAAGCTGAAGGGAAGATGATGAACAGGTAGCTGAAACATAGATAGTGGCTGCTGGCAATCTTACAGCATTTTTTTTATGCACTCCTCCTTTATAGCTTGTCTCTCCCAAAGGCTCAGACTGGATAATAGCAATTTTATTGAAAAACAAAGAGAAAGATTCTTGTCCCTTAAGGCTCATAATCTAACAATTTAGTAACTGGATAGTGTTTTTAATTAGCTTATTATCCATCAGGCACAAGGCATTAATGTTTAGAAATCTTTAAAACAGCCGCATTGCATTAGCAGCTTTATGTCTGTCGCTTTGCCTTGTGATTTGCCATTACAGTTAACGTTTACAAATGGTGCCTAATTCATCTGTAGATTTCGTCTACCATGTCTAACTTGATGAACAAGAGGAAACACAGCCTAAAGCACTTGTGATTTATTTTGTAGAGGAGGGTGCTAAATACCTTCCAAAAGTAGGTGGAGTTTCATTGCTAAATCTTTCTAGAAGGGGGAAGGATATTGTCATCTACCCCTTTATTGCATTATTTTTAGCCCTGGAACAAGCTGAGATCTGCAGGGTTGCCATCTTATTTATNTTAAAAAAAGAAATCAAGCTCATCCATTCATTCATTCATCAAACAAAAATTACAAATTCAAACAAAGAAAATAAGAAAATTAAAATGTGACAGAGATGATAGGCATGCCAGCACACATACACATGCCCTTTAGTGACCTTTTAAGGTCCAAAAAAGTTAAGTTAAAATTAAAGCTGTGAAATTTAATGACTGGGATATCCGAATCAGGCAAGATACTCCAGACTGACAATTCTGCTAACAAATCAATATTTTTGCAATCAAATTTAAAGTTGTTTATATTAAGTTTGTAAAGTGGTTGGTCATCATGTATTATATTATGATTAAAACTAAAAGAAGTCATTTACAGGTAAAGCATTACTATCTACAATTTTGTATGCCATAACTAAGTTTGATCGCAAGCATCACAGTTCTAAACCATCTAAACCAAGAATTTCAAACTTAGTAGCGTAAGCTATTGTATTATGGACAGAAGAGTGCAAGGCCTTTTTCTTTTCTTTTTGCAAAGTACTTCTGAACTCGCTCAATAGTAGTAATATCCAATATACAGAAGGATTCCAAACACCATTCTAGGATTGACTTAATGCATGTTTTATATTTATATTTTCTAGGTCACTTGAATGATGGTTATAAAAAATTATTTCTCATACTTTTTCTATGTATGCATTTTAGGGAGGGCAAGCAGTGGTGGGATTCAGCCGCTTCATCCTGGTTCAGGTGAACCGGTTGTTAAATTACCCACCCTGCTATCAAAGTGGATCCTGTGCTGTGATGCAATGGAGAAACAGGCAACAGAGCAGCCAGCATGAGGGAAGGAGACTGCTTTCCCTTTTTCTTCTCCCTGCTCCTCCTCCTTCTCTCGTTCTGGCTGCTCTGTTGCTCATTTCTTCATTGCAGCGCAATGCCCAGGATCCACTTTGATAGCAGGGAGGATGGTTTGCCCAAGGTAAGGTTGGCCATTACAGGAGGGTCATCCTGGATTTGCAGTGGAGCTGGAGGTCTGGGATGGACCACGCTTCCCATCATAGCCACCATGATGCTGAGTGAACTGGTTGTTTAAGTATTTGAATCCCATAACTGAGGGCAAGGATTAACATAGAAAGTTAATACTATCTGCTCTTGGTCTCATGCTATAGAGAAAGACATTCTGGCAAAATGTAAGTCTTCTCTATCACCTAGAGAACCCTACCTGCTCTTTGGAACAGCATCCCTCTGTTCTCATCTTGCCTTTCTCTAAGCAGGGTTCAAAAGCATGATCTTCAGACCTTGGATGCAGTTGTGTGGATGGTCCCTATTTTGGATATATATGCATGACGCTGAAATGTATGTTGAAGTTGATTCTCAGAAGAATTGCAACAAAAGTCGACATCTTCTTACACTGCCATCTTAACTAAAATCCCTGTTATGTTTTGCAGCTTCCATCAATGAATTATATAAACCCATGTGCTGTTTTATATATAATGTTATCTTTTAGCCTAATGAAGAGACACCCAGAATTATTTTAGAGTCAGACAGCCTAGGAATTTGACAAACAAAAGGATAAATGTTATCTTTTATGGCAGAGAAGTTCAAATTTTCAGGTTTTGGTTGGAAATGAGAACTTTATGCGACAGAATGGCTGGCTAGCAGGGATAAAGTGGCTATCTTAAGTCTGGGCAAAGCTTATGGCTCACAGTTTACCTTTTAAATTCACAAAATAAAACGAAGTCCAGTTTTAGACCCATATATTGCAAATGGCTCTGCGA